GCTTTCCCTTTCGCCTCCCTGCATTGTGCCTACATATGCAAATTAACCTCCATCTTTGTTGTCAGTTAACTGCCATCTGAGTTGGCAGTTAATTTGCATATAGCCCTGATTAGCCAATGAAAAGGGTAGCGTCGTACGCCAATTACCATTTTTTCTTTTATTAGTGTAGATAGTACATGTTTAGAGGAAGGTGGAATAATATCAATCTGTCCCTTAGGAAGAAGTCTAAGACAGGCTGGATTCCTCCTACGGTCACTTATGAGCAAGGCCTCCACGTTCAAGCTTTAGCTCTGAGGAACAGAGCAGAGCCATGCTGCTGCCTGGAGGTGCCCAGAGCGCGAGCAACCCTCTGAAGCTGAGCTACTTACAGCGAACGGATGGTAGGGAGGAGGAGGGGGAGGTCCTCTGAAGCTGAGCTACTTACAGCGAACGGGTGGTAGGGAGGAGGAGGGGGAGGTCCTCGGGGCCCCGCTGGTGGAGGCAGCACAGATAATCCTGTTGAAAAGATGCCAAGTGCGCTGAGGTTCAACCCCGGGATCAGGTTGGCTTGTTGCTGGGAACAGAAATGGAGAGCAAGGTGAGGGGAGGCGAGCAGAGTCCCGGCTTGCCGGGGTCAACCTCTATCTCCTGCCACCGTGGCACCAGGGATTCCTCATGAGCTCTGCCCCAGCCCTGCAACCTCTTCCCCACCCTGCTGCTGGGGTGGGCTCTCCAAACCTCAACGTGATGACAGTGTTCCTCCAAAGTTTCTCTGCCACCCTTGAGAGTATCTACACATCTCAGCAGCAAATGAGGCTCTTCCTGGGGACCCAGGCCACCTCACCAGCCTCTGCTGCCAGCCCCTCCTCCCCAACCTGCACTCCTGTGCCTCTCACCTCTGGGCCCCCGTACGCTTTGTCCACCCTGCAAGGAACGTGCTCCTCTCGCTCCTCACCTGACTGAGTCCTACTCATCACGTGGGTTTCACCGGAGTGTAGGTGTCCCCTCATCGGGGAAGCCTTCTCTCACCCCGAAGGCCTCATCCACACGCCCTTTCTGTGCTAACATTCCTACATTTCCTTAGAGAGCACTCCCCACATGGTATGTGGGTCACCTGCGTAGGCACCTCTTCCCCTTTCAGACATAATTCCCTCGTGCACGGAGACTGTCTTGTGTTGTGGGCTCAGTGCCTGGTGCACAGTAAGTACTTGATAAACACTCGTTGAACGGGTATGTTTAACACACACTGGAGTAACAGCTGTTTCCGAACGCTGTCTAGGACACCACCTACAGAAGCTCTGTGTCCAGGTGCAGAACAGTTCACAACTTTGGCCTTTTCACCATTTGGTTACCAGTTTCGTGACCATCTCACTTGCTTGTTTATTTCACATTCAAACACGGGGACGCTCCCATAGGCTAGAGTCGAGGTGTTCCCGCCCCATCACCCATTTTAATAGTTTTTCATGAAAGTTGCATATAAGATTACTTTTATTTCTGCATCTTCTCAATTGTTCTTCTTGGTATTTGCCCCTTTCCTTTCTTACTTGGCCAGATTTGGCTCTATGTTCAAGGATCGTTTCGTGGTCTCTGTCCAGCTTTACTCTAGTGATAACCACCTTGCTGGGGTGAATGCCCTCATGAGCAGTTGTACCGCTCGCTTTCTCCCGTTGCACTCATTCAACGAAGATGGCACATTTCTTCCTGTAAACCTGGACAACTTTACCAATTTGCTGCTCTTTGTAGTGTCCTTAAACCTGAACTTCATCATCCTTTCGGACGGGTGTGGGTGGAACACTGTACTAATGTCTCAGCTCTTTGGGAAGAGAAGATAATTTCCCTATGAATTTGGGAAGGTACTTTGAGATGCCTTTTATGGTTCCTCCTCTGGTCAGAAGTCAAAGGGTCTGAACTCATCGGCCGCTGGCACTTCAGCGGTGGCCGCAAAAGGGATAGAGTCGAACTTTACACAGCCCATCAAAGGCAGACAGAGGTAGTCACCCACCCTGGCCTGTGTCCAACCTTCTCCTGTCTTTGTCTCCTCAAACCCTAAGCGGATCTCTAACATCTTCCTTCTTTTCTGCGGCTAGGGTCGCCTACCAACTTGCCTTCTTTTAGAATGTTTGGAACAGTAGGGCTGGGGTCCTTAACCTTTACCCAACTAGATATATAAGCTCTAGTAGTTTTGCTATTCATCGATCAGTGTGTGACTTTGGTACAGACATGAATGAATCCACATGGTGGGCTCAGGTGAAGACGAGTGGAGCACCCAGACCCTTGTGTAGCTTTTCTGGGTGTTCACAGAAAGAGATGTTTCTTGTAAGATATCGGTATCCAGAAAGAAGATAATGAGATCACTGGATGCTAATGACACTTCTACAGACAAACACACACAAATGGGGAGAGAAGGTCACGCTTCTCGTCATGTGTCCCCAGTGCCACGTGATGTGGCTGCTCAGGTGGGAGAGAGAGCACTGACCTGAGGAAGGGGGTAGATGCTGTGGGATGTGCTGCAGGGAGGGAACTGCGTTGAACCTACACAGCTCTTTGTCAGCATTTACTCCTCTGAAATGTTACCCGGCCTAGGATTTGCTGCAAGGACATCCAAAGCGGGGGAGGGTACAGCGGATGATGATGGTTCAGATGAAACAAAACAGGCCATGAGTTGATAACCGTGGAAGCTGGATTATGGGATTAGGAGGACGCATTACAGCATCCTTTCCTCTTCAATATATGTTAGAAAATCATTATTACAGAAAATAAAAACATTTACTGAGTTTTGGCAATGGACAAATACTTTTAAAATTTCTTATGCCAGACTGGTGTCTTCCTATTATAAAGTGGGAACTACACAGCAATAATAAGAAAGATAAACCCAAATCAGTCTGTTAGGAATATTAGAGCTGAGGTGGTTGACAATATTTACTAGGTAACCTAAAAGAGCAGATCATTAAGCAAGAGATGAAACTCAGAAGTTCATTTGAAGGTATTTACATTTACAATTGGATGGAAATTGGGGAAAAAACCCACCTTTCTAATATAAAAGCTATTTTTATATGTAGCCTTCCGTCATTTTGATACATATTATTTTACATAATTATAACTCCAATTTTATACACTTTTATATACTTTTCTTTACTAACATTATATCATAGTCGATTCCTTATTTTAAAATTTTCAGTTACGATTTTAATGGTTTCACACTATTTTGTCCAGTGCATTTATCATAACGGTCTCCTGATTAGTTTAATGCCCTTGCTCCAAGAAGGCAGCAATAACTCTGCATACCTATTTGATGTTTCTTCTCTATCTGAAGGACAACTATTCTTAGAGAGGCTTGAATTCTACCAAAAACATGTGGAAACCAGGAGAAGAAAGCATTAGGCACTTACATTTACAGCCAGCATGTCATTTTCAAAGGCCTCACGTAGCTTCTTCATAATCTCCATCTCAGCACTGGCACAGGCCTCTACTGTGCCCTTCACAGTGATGGTTCTTTCAGGGTTGTATATGCTCAAATCCTGCAAGCTGGCCACCAGGGAATAAAACAGAAATTTGCTTTCATCATAAGGAGAAATAAATCCCAGAGGATAACAAACAAGTCTTGGTGGAGACGGTGAGGAGAAGAGCGAATTTCCTCACCACACACTGAAGTACAGAACACTTACCGCCTTATCTCAAATCTTGCTAGTGACAGATCACATCTATAGTAAAATGTCTGACTGGTGACTATTTATGTATTTGTCTTTATAGTTTTGGAGAAAACTATGTGACTTCTGATTACACTCCCATGTTATAGAAAAGCAGATGAATGAACTGGGCATTGCAAGATGACCAAATTCTCTATTAATGGGCACAATGAATCTGAATGGGTGGCTTACGATGAAATTGTTATCTTGGTCCCAGTCTCATGTTCAATTTTCTTCAAATTTCTGCCTTCTTTTCCAATAAGTCTTCCAACCAAGCCATTGTGGGCCAAGATTTTCAGAGGAATCTCTTCGGTTCTAAAAAGGACAACCAACAATTTAACATTTAAGGTGGAAAAGGCGATTGCTTCCCCAAAGGCTATTACCTTCTTTTGTTTTTCTTACAAACAGAAGCTGTTTTATTCAGGTACCAAGTGGTAATGAGCTTTAGGAGCGGAGTCCCTTACTAATCCCAGTGCGTGAATTCTCATTAACATAAGCCAAACCGTGAGGATTATGCTCCCCTGCTGTGCCAGACTGGGAGTAAGTCCAAGAGGTAGATATGGCCAGTGAGATATAAGGAGAAATCCGTTAGGTGACTTTAGGAAGGCTTTCCTTGCTCTTAAAAAGGTACAAGGGTTGCCCTGGCCAGTCTGGCTCAGTGGATAGAGTGTCGGCCTGCAGACTAAGGGGTCCCAGGTTTGGTTCCGGTCAAGGGCATGTACCTCAGTTGTGGGCACATCCCCAGTAGGGGGTGTGCAAGAGGCGGTTGATCGATGTTTCTCTCTCATCGATGTTTCTAACTCTCTATCCCTCTCCCTTCCTCTCTGTAAAAAAATCAATAAAATATATATATTTTTTAAAAGGTACAAGGGTTAATGACATTAGTCAGATGACAAACCAGAAAGCTTCACATCCTCCTACCCTCCCTGCCCCGCCCCCCAGAGATACCAAGTTAACAACAGACTAATACCTCTGTGAGAACCCTAGAGATCAAGTGAGAGCTATAGCACCCAGGATATTATAAAATCAAGAAGAAATTCCAGCAAAAGGGGAAGGAAAATTTTGGTATCTGGCATGCCTGCTCATGTTCCTTCCCCTACACAGTATAGCCAGGAGCAACTAAAAAGCAATCCTTCATACCAGGGTTCCTCCCTTTAAAACAAAAACAAAAGAATGGAGTATGAGTCCAACATTCTGGATTGTCTGGGGGCTACCCAAGAGATTGGTTCCTGTCTCTCCTGACTTGGAGGGCTGACGAGACTGGCACCAGAGTGTGGAAGGTGGTGAAAACAGAGGTAACCAGTATGTTAGAGCTGCAGTTACACAGTCAGAAGCCAGGGGAAGAAAGAGATCAAAAAGGTTTGAGAGATCTAGAACCTGCAGCCAGGCTCGTTAGTGAAGTTCTTCCCTTGAATGAAGTCAGGAGGCAAAGACTGAGAGGTGGTTGTCAATTCCAGCAAAAACACTACAAGACATACAAAGAAACAGGGAAACAATGACTAACCAAAGGATCAAAATAAAACTCCAGAAACGGATCCTAAAGAGATGCAGGCCTATGAACTACCTGACAAAGAATGTGAAAACTGTCATAAAGCTACTCAATGACCTAAAAAAGACCAGACGACTAAATGAAATCAGAAAAATGATGTATGTACAAAATAAGAATCAATAGACAGAAACTATAAAAAACCAACCTAACAAATATAAAGCTAAAGATTACAAAACTAAACTGAAATTTTTATTTAAAAGGTTCAATAGCAGACATAAACAGGCAAAAGAAAAATATCAGCAAACTTGAAGACTGATCATTTGAAATCAAGAGGAGAAAAAAGAATACAGGAAGGCAAAGAGAGGCTACAGGACACTATAGTGATAATATACACACCATGGGAATCCATAAGGAGAAGAAAGAGAAGGGGCAAAGAGCTTATTCAAAAATAATAATAATGATGATGGAAACCTATCCAAATCTGAGGAAAGAAATGGACATACAGATTCAAGATGCTCTTTCAACTAGGATAAATCCAAAGAGAACTACACTGAGACATATTGTAACCCATGTGTCTAAAGCCAAAGACAAAAGACAAAGCACAATCTTTTTTCTTTTTCTTTTTTAATTCCCCCACCCCCCCCATACACATTGATTGGGTGTTTCCTACATGCACCCTACTGGGGCTAGGGATTGAACCTGCAACCGAAGTACATGCCCTTGCCTGGAATTAAACCTGTGATCTTTTAGTCTGTGGGCCAATGCTCTAGCTACTGAACCAAACTGGCTAGGGTGACAAAGGACAATTTTGATAGCAGCAAGATAAAAGTATCAGTCACATACCTAGGAGTTTCCATATTATCAGTGGATTTCTCGGCAGAAATTTTGCAGGCCAGGAGGGAGTGGGATGATATATTCAAACTGCTGAAAGAAAAAACTGTCAACCAGGAATACCATATCTGGCAAATTGTCCTTCAAAAATGAAGGAGAAATAAGACTTTTCCAGGAAAACAAAAGCTTAGAGAGTTCATTCCTATTAGAATTGCTCTACAAGAAACTTTAAGTTGAAATGAAAGTACAGTAGATAGCAACACAAAGTCATAAAAATATAAGATTCTTTTTAAAAAATATACAAATACAATAACCTACACTATAGTAACTTTGATACATAAATTTAAATGGCAAAAACAAAAACGGTAAATCTATGTTAATGGGTATATAATACATAAATAATAATTTGTGACATCAATAACAAAGTAGAGGTACAAGAACGTATGGGGGGGGAAGGTGATGGAAGGAGACTTGACTTGGGGTGGTGAACACACAATCCTTATCTAATAAAAGAGAAACATGGTAATTGGCGTACGACCGATACCCTTCCCATTGGCTAATCAGGGGCGATATGCAAATTAACTGTCAGCCAAGATGGTGGCCGGCAGCCAGGCAGCTTAAACTGAACAGGAGGCTAGCTTGCTTCAGTGACGAAGGGCTCCAACGTTCCCCGCCCGCCTTTGCA